AATAACACTCTTACATCTGTCTTGAATGAGTTAACTTGAATATCATGCACTAAATATGTAGTTGTAAACAGTATCTTTGCATTAAGGTTAAAAACATTTAGTTCGCTTGTTGAATAAAACAATAGACTTGGTTTCTATTTTGAACTTAACCACCGTTTAACCTAAACGGGCTTGATATACAACCGGCCCCCGGTTTGTGCGCACAGAACATGTGACCAGCGTGAAAGAAAATAATTTTTACACTTAGAATTTGACGTTTTACTTGTTTACACTATAAATTCGTGTATTTGGGGAGACAAAGTTCTTTAGGTTTGCTGCCCGCATAGCGAGCGACCCTGGTGGAGCGAGAAAGCCAGCAGATCCTAATTTATATTGCGAGTAAAAGTAAAAATTTCCGTGACGCATTGTATTAGGGTGATTTTTTGAGAATTTTGAAAAAATTGATAAAAATGACAATTTTCCACTACTTCCTAATAACGGATTGTCATCAAATTTTTCACTTTACAAAAGTTAACGTTTATTTCTTATATAGCAAGGAGGAAAATGAAGATAAATAGTATATTTTCGAGATCACTAAATTTGTGAAAGTAGCAGTGAAACTCCTTTTCCACTTCCGATTTTTTGCGATAGCATTTAAATATGTCCGCACATCATATATGTTCAATTAAGCCTGTTTCCGCATATTAAAACGATCTGGTATCTCATTTTTCGACCTAACACGTATTTTCTGCTCAGTCATCCGACTTATTTTGGAATATGGATGCCAATTTTAGAATTATTCTTTAACGGAAAAACAGTCCAATCAAATGGAGCAAATTCAAAAAAGCAACTAAAACCATCTTATCCGATCAGATATCTTATGACCTAAGGTTAAAAAGACTAAAATTGAATACATTGGTAAGAGCTATGTTATAAATTATACCAATCGATCACTCAAAATAAAAACAATAAACTAAATAGCCTATTGCTGCAACCCAAATAGTAGGCTTATTCACTACGGAACCTAAGAGAAGTTCCAATTTTTAAAGCGAAAACAGACAGATTTGCTTAATAATTTATATGTTAAACTATTTTATAGTACTCCTTTGTTGTGGTTCACCCACTTATACGAAAGTATCAAATATTTATTATAAATTATTGTAGCACTTATGATGGTAATCTTATGAATTTTTCATTGTCAAGAGGCTTTCATGCAGAACTGATGCGAGAAAACTCCGCAAAGAAAAATTCCGCTTCGCGCGCAAAGTTCCGCCAAGTCAAGGCGTACACAGAGGACAGGGAGGCAGTGGGGGGGACAATTGCACCCTGTAAATTTCGAGAAACAAAAATTCGGGCAATGGTGACAGTACAGCAACGGGGAGCTAAATTTGTAATATATATCACATATGTGTATTCTATTTGGCCATTCTTGTTACACTTTCTTGAAATCACATTCGGCGCTTTGCCAAGTTTATTGTTACAAATTTGGTAAGAGTTAAAATTCTTTCGGGCACATTGCATAATTCAAAAATTTGGGCGATTTTTTTGCCCTCAAACGAAGTTACGCCCGTACGCCTATGCGCCTAGTGGAAAACAGGCTTTTAAGCTCATCTAATGATAATAATAATTCAATCCACTTGTAATGCTGGCGAAACCAGGACCTTTTTTTATACCAACCGTACTTTATAATTGGCATCGGTCGAGTACCGATACCAATTTCGATAGCAAAATTTGTTAAGAATCTTGAAATCCGATAATTTCGATACCAAGATTATAATCAGAAGTTTACATTTTGAAACTCAAGCTGCAAAAAGACCGATTAACATACTGAGTCATCTGAAATTTATAGTATAACGAAACGTCGATAATGGTTCTTTTCCCCTTTGTTTACGATTTGTCGAATTTGATTCAGTAGTTTTCCAAAAAAAACCATTTTAGAAAAATATAAAATATTCCAATCAACGTTTGCCCAGAAAAAGGGGACAAGTGTCGAACGAAACCAGGTCAGTAATCGACACCGATGCCATGCTCGCTAGTATCGTTGGCATCGAATACTAAGTGTTCGGTTAGGTATCGTCTAGCACTAGTTTTACGTGTTAACTTCGATGCTGGCTAAATAGTCCAAATATATTTGTTGCCGTGATTGTGGCGATCGGCAGCCAGAGCCGGAGCCATAAACCAGAGCCAACCAATAGGCAACAAGAGCCGGGCAATGAACCGGGAAGTCTCATTGGGTACGTCTGCAACCAATGAAGCGACAATTTGAGCCAGCCATTACCTACTGCCATCACTATTATATATCCATAAAAATCCATAAAGTTCACTATCCCATCCTTGTCCCCAGGTTTCGGCCGCGACGCCGGCGGCAATTCCTCGCGGCTTGAAGAATAAAATGGCAGTTGTTTTTCTTCAGCATGCAAATGTCAAATGTAAAGAAATTTTTCCAGCAGTCAATTTGGTATATATTAAAGCCAAAATTCTCAACTTTTGCTTTAGTTGCTGGTTTGCCAGGTATGTTGTTATTTCTTGGTTATTGAATAGTTTACAAGTATAAAATCTGACTTAAATATTTGCATATTTGTTATTTGAATATTCATGAAGTTATGATATTATTTATCTGAAAAACCCCGCTAAATAGGTGAGAATGTTTTTATACCATAGAAAACGACTTTAATATTAGGTGTTGCCCGTTCAATTTTGTGGTGATAAATTGTAGCGTTACTTTTAAAGTCTAAACAACTTTTCTTTATGCTTTATTATGTGGTATAAATAATTCTATTTTTTAAGTCACCTTTCATGTGTCTGAACTCTATATTACTTAGGGATGCTACAAGTTTGTTCAAAAGGAATATTCTTAAACCCAGCATACTAATTTAAACTAATGTACAGGTTAGAATGATGCCAAAATGTTCATTGCAGCATTTAGGAGCACAATGCATTCTGCATAGGTTAAGCAAATTTTTAAGTTTCAAGCTTGATTTGGTCAAGATGTTCACTTGTTACAAAAAGATTGCTCAGCTGTTCAGTTGGTTTATTCAGATGAAGTAGCTAAACATTTTTTGGAGGAAAACATGTTTTCAGATGGCGACTTAATTTGCTTTCAGTTAATTTATGTGGTTGATCAACCCCAAATAATTACCTGATTTTACCAAATAAGTTACCCTAGATTCTAGATTCTCATTATCTACATGGAAGAAGGGAGCTAAAGGATGTTCTTAAGAAATAAATAAATGTTTCAACACAAGATGCTGGTTTAAACTGATAGATTGAATAGAATACCAACTCACTGTATAGATGTATACTTGTTTTATAAATCAAAAGAGCACTAATTTTTGGGTGCATTAATTCTGCATAGTGTCCCTACTTTGTATGTTACATTCTTATTTCCACCAGCTTTTTAAACCATTTTTGCTGTCATCACTACTTTTTACCACTATCTTGGAATTTGTAAAGTCTTCAAATAAAACTAATGATGGAAGGATTACAACCCACTGTTAACATTTGCGAGCTGGAACATAGGTTCCACATATCAGAAATTCAAAGGAAGACGTACCCAAAATGACTTATATAAATATTCAAATTTTGCCATGTGATTGCAGTTAATCCTGTCCTTGCCTAAAAAAAGTTACACATGAAGAGATTTTCAGTTGTTCAGCTTTGTTGCATGCACTTGTGGTTGGTTTGTGCAGGAAATTGTTTGGTTAATAAGACACTACAGTATGATAAAACATTTTTTTAGGTCACCTGATTAAATGACTCTTAAATACAAAAAGCTACTGTAGTTAATGTTTACTTTGCAATTGCAGCCAAGCTGCAAAGTCCTGATATGATATATTGTATTTTCTCAAGGATAATATTGACATGTTCCCATTCATTAACTATCAATCCCATGTTTCCTAGGGATTTTCAGAAAATAATGGGCTCTAGTCAAGGTCTAGTCATAATGTTGGTTACCCATATGCACAATTTATGGCTGATTCAACAAGGGTTAGGGCATGGAAAATGTTAATCAGCAAACTCTTATTTTTCTGGAAAGTTCAATTGCTTAAACTGTGTGATATGCTTTCTTGTAAAAGGCCCAAGATCTGATTGTAATAGCACCTACATTTAATAATAAAATCATTGAAAAGCATTAATATTGTTAATCAGCAAAATTATTTCTCTGTTTTCTAGATTGACTGTTATACAACATGTTCATACCTCTACAGCAAAATTGGTAAGTTATAAATTTTCTTCTGTGTGCAAGACGAATTTTTGTATCAGTAGTATGCAGAAAGATGTAGATGTTTATCAGTTTATCTGTGTATTAAAACATTTTTTATGTTTTGTCTCATCATGTGTTAACTAAGTTTAACTAAGTTTAAGTTTAATATAGTTTATATAGTTTCATGGACACTTTTAAATTTAATAACAGCATAGGCAATGTAGCTATTTGCCATTTAAGATGGAATAATATCTATTTTACTCCAAATGTCTTTTTTGCTGCGATTTTATGCAATTTTCTTGCAACTTGCAATGCAATTATAATTTTGAGGGATGTTAATTTTGTAAGGAGTGTTCGAAATATTAAAAAAATGTTAGCAGATCCTAAGAAATGTTTGTAATTGACAACTTTAGATGCCTCAGTTTCCTTAAATTTCCTTACATTGCAAATATAAAGTGTTGGAAAGGAAAGTTAAATGTTCAGGCTTGTTTGTCCCTTCACAACAGTTCCTTAATTATAGCAGCTTATATTTTCGGATAGTAAACGGAGCCAGCAGAATTAATTGATCAAATTGATCAGACTGCAACACTGGCGGAGTGCTTTGTTACAGGAAGCATTTTGACGAAGTCCGTTAATTTACCTAAATCATACTAGAAAACATCGTTTTCAGTATCCCATGGTATTCCCAGGATATTAACCGATAAATGTTCAACTTCTGCTGTTGATATGTTACTTCTTGATCGTTATGTTCTGCAGTGTTTGGAAAGCATTCGCAAGTTAAATGATGGTCGGTTCCAAACAACAAACCTGTTGTTCGCTAGTTTCAACCTATTCAATACCACACTCGTTCTCGAGGGGTTCCACGATCTGTGGTAACACCTCTTCACACGCTTTTGTATGTTGTTTCCTTCTGTACGAAGCCCGAATCCACCGTCTGTGATTATTTCTTTTGACATATCGTAAATTTTGATTGTTTGATCATCCGCCAAGGTAATTTATGCTGTATGATGGTATGGATACTTCAATCAGGATCCATCAAACAGAACTCACACTTTCGTTGTTTGTAATTAATGCGCCGATTTATCAGATCCTGATCTTTTGCAGTTCAGTCATCAATAACTCGCAAATGTTGCTGTTGCTTGAAGACATTCAGAATATTCTTTCATAAGTTCGGTCCTTCAACGGATTATGCGTGTGTCGTAGTCTACTCATACACAGGATGAATACTCACTCGCGATCGGTCCCTTCAATGAAGAAAACGAGGATTTGAACTTGTCAAATCGTTGTAAGTTTTTTGTTTTATGAACTGCATTTTCGAAAGCCCCACAAAATGTACGATTAATTCGTAACAACACCTTCAAGTTTATACAAAGGCAGTTTCGAGGTCGAAAAGAACAGCGTTTTTCTTAGAATCGAATTTGCGATGAATTTGTTGGCAATTGGCTGGTACATATACGTCTTCACATCCTCAGTCAGTTCTTATTTACTCGCTAAAGTCTACTTGATGACTCTCTTGTGCTATCTCTTTCAATCAATTTTTTCCCCAGTTATTTTACCCAAGTTTTTGAGATTCTGTAATTTGGCACTCAATGTTGTTAACTCCACACAAATTGTTTCTTTGCTGAATCGTCCCCGTTTGCAACTAATTTATTCTGTAATTCCTTTGTAACTCCATGCATGATTTCTAGATCGAATTGGGCACTATGCAATAGAACTTTATACACAAAAAAAGAAAAATTCAAAAGAACACAAACAAAAATTAGGCAAATTAAAATCCTAGATGTACAGTGTACTACACAGGCTTTTCAAAAGTCATACTGTAGGTTCGATAAATGTTGTTCGTCAAAAGACCACCATGTTTTCACTGTGGAATGTTCCTACCTAAACTACTGTTCTTTTCACAAGTAGCTAATTCCTTTCACTTTTTTTATTAATTAGTATAGGTATTAACGAGATTTTTGCTCGAACAATTTGAGATTAAATAGGAATGATGTTTGAAAATTTTTCCAAAATTGGACGTGCCATTGACACGGTAGCTATCGATCACCATGCAAACATATACTATACACTGTTATACTTTAACTAAGTATTAGCTTTTTATCCTATTCGGATCGACTTAAAAGTATATAAATAGAATGAGCAACGCATGAGCAACTTAAAATATAATTCAATAATGCAATATCGCGGCGAACGTAACTTAAGTACTCTGAGTATACTGCGGGTTTCAGGAGGAGAAGTGAAAATCATGTTGCGACAGACGTCTTGTTGGCTCATGCATTAATGCATCGGGAGGGCACTAAAACTTTGGATCCATGGATCCCTAGAATATATATGTCTGAGCTCTCATCTTTTGAAAGGAGGTAATTTTGCTCCTTATGAATTACGAATAGTCTGCCTAGCAAAATTCTTGACTGATTCTGTTTTAGAAGACACGGTACAGTTTTAAAAAGTGCGACGGAGCCCTCATTGCTATATGCTTACTTTGCCCATAAAGCCAAGCACATAGGCCTAGCTGAGTTTCTGACATGGGCATATTTATTTTTCCTATGGAATAAATAATCGTTTAACACAATTCTTTGTTTCCTAGACTGACTGTGTCACAGTACATTCCTACTACTGCAAATCATTTTGGTAAGTTATTTTTTCTGTTTGTGTCTTTAACTTTTAGTTTATGTCTTTTTATAGTGATATACAGTAGGGATGATGTGTTAATGACATTAGATAATTTTCAATTTCAATGTCTCACTATGGTGGAATGTTTTTATGCTTAATAAACTTTTTTGTATCAATAGTGGGATAGTATATGTTCAGTATGGTAGGGTGTTTTTCATTCTTAGTTGACTATTTTGTATATCAGTAGAGGGATAGGATGTTCTTTAGGCAGGGTGGATCTTTCTCATTTTTTTTACTTTATCTTTGCATCAGTTATGAGATGGGATTATTAGCGTTGAATGATTATTGATCAGAATTTATTGAAGTCCCCACAAGAGATTACCCATGTTTAGTACACACATTCACACAATGAGTCACAATGTGTGCAGTATGCAGTCCTATTGGGAGGACTTGTACAAGAAGTCTCACACTGTGGGGAGACTGCTAGCTCAGGTCTCTTAATGATTTGTGTCACCATAGTATTGCTGGCTGAAGTTGATCTTTTTCAAGTTTATCTTGTCATCGGTAGAATAATGGGATGTTTTTCCGGGTGGTATTAGTAGCTGGGGATGCATGTGATTTCTTCACTATATCTCTGTATATGGGGGATGGCAGTTCAGCATGGTGGGTTGTCAAATCTTTGTCAATTTTATCTTCATATCAGTAATGGGATATGGTGAAACGTTTCCCTTTCGTAATTGACTCGCTTTTGCAGCAGGATACAGTAGGGTGTTCATCATCCATTCTCAGTTGACCTTTTCATCAGTAGCTGAAAGGAATGTTTATCAGGGCGAGATTTGTTGACCCCATACTGTGAATACTAAGTTGGCTTTGATTTTTAGTACACATGTTTTTTGAAACCTTCTTTGAAACCTCGCAACTGACAATATTTTTGCATCAGTACTTCTTACATTAATAGCGGTAGTGATATGTTCATCATGGTGGGACGTTTAACTCTAAGTTAACAATATTTTGTATATATTTTGCATAGAGCTTAAAACAATTCTCTTTTCCTAGTTTGACTGTTTCATGCACAGAATGTTCATACTTCCACTGCAAAGAGTTGATTGGTGGTGAGTTTATTTTTTTGTATGCTTGTTGTTACTCTAGGATATTTTTCACTCTTAGTTCACTATATCATTCTATCAATATCTAGACAGCATGTTTACCAGATTGGAATATTTTCAATTTTTTGTGGTATCAGTAGTGGATATGATTTTAAATTTGCTGACAATCTCTATGTCTATACTACATTGGCTCTCATTTTGCATCATTAGCAGGAATGGACATTGATCAAAATAGATGAAATTTGTTCACTCGATAATATCTTTGTGTGTTTCCAATTTTTTATCACAGGTGAAATGTAATTTGTTGACTACATAAAGCTCTTTGTATATTAATATAGTGAGTTGACTTCAACTGGGAAGTTTTCTATTAATAGTTGATGTTATAATTGTATTGGTAGTAGCTCAGGTTAAATATTCCATCAAGTATCATCATGTAAAAGTGTGTAAAGTAATGTGAGGACTTGTGCAAGAATTCTCACATTGTGGGGACTTACATTTTTAATGATTGTGTCAGCATGGTATTGGTGGTTCAGTTTAATCTTTCCATCAAGAATAGAATGGAATTTTTATCAAGGGAAATGTTCTTCTTGGGATTTGTTGACTTTCTGCAAAATACATAATTCTAATTTTGTCTCACTAGTGGGAATTAAGAGATGTTCGTCAGGGGTGTGGGATGCTTTTCTTTAATAGTTGACTTTATCTTTGAATCGTAGCTGGAGCTGGGGATGTTTATCATTCTTAGTTCACTTTATCTCTGTATCAAAACATTTTTAATGTTTTGTCTCATCATAGTATCAGTGATGTGTTTAATTAAGTTTAAGTTTAATATAGTTTATATAGTTTTACGGAAACTTTTAAATTTAACACAGCATAGGCAATATATTTGCTATTTATGATTGAATAATATCTATTTTACTCCTAAAGTCTTTTTTGCTGCGATATTTTTTTTAGTATGGAACATGTGAGAAATCCCTTTGACGTACACTAACACATAAAAGACCACTATTAAGCAAACGTTGACGGAGAGATTTTTAATGATGCATTTGGTAAGTTTATTTTATTTTAATTAATAAATTCTACATTGTCACTGCTGTCACACTATGCAATTTTCTCGCAACTTGCAAACTTCTAATAATTTCCAATAAATCGTCTATTACCCAGCGATTTAGCACAGCGATTATTTGCTGCGTCTTTGCAAAGCGTTTCTGCAAAGTGTGATCCGCTGCCTTTTAATTGTTTTCGGTAATGGCAAGCCCCTTAATTGCGCGAATTGTCTAATAAAGAAAATAAGTAATTAAACTTGCAAAATCGTTGTAAGTTCTTTGTTGTTATGGCCTGCATTTTCGAAAGCCCCACAAAATGTACGATTAATTCGTAACAACACCTTGAAGTGTATACAAAGGCAGTTTTGAGGTAGAAAAGAATAGCGTTTTTCTTTGAGTCAAATTTGCGATGAATTTGATGGCAATTGGCTGGTATATATATACGTCTTCACATCCTCTGTCAATTCTTAGTTGCTCACTAAAGTCATCAGGTACTCTTGCGCTAGCTCTTTCAATCACATCAGAAAGTTTCTTATCCTTAGTATCCGAGTCACTTACTCTTTTCGGATGGGATTACATATCTACAGCAGATTACTTCATGGCTGACGAGTGTGTAAATTCTTATTTAGTTACGAATCAGTGTGACGAACGAGTGTACTTAGCGATCCTTTAAAGAGGAAATAATAACGGGCGACATCAAAATTTCGTCACTCTTGCGCGACTCGTGAGTGGTATTTTATAATTTGAATTATGCCAGTAAAAATATAACTCGAAGTCTCAAACTAGGTTAAAGTGTCTATATCACTTGTGGGATCTTTACGGATTTGAATAGAGCTTGAAAAATTAGTTTATAACTTTTACAACCCTTTTTGATTTAGTTAAATAGTTTCGGAAATATTTACATCTAAACATGACGATTTGCATAAATTTCCGTCGTGCTCGGGGGCCTAGGACTCAGGAACCGAGTTCTTGTCCAACCATCCTCGTCCCCAGGGCCTAGCTCCGTTGCTGTCCACATAGGCCCTGGGATACGCTGTTGAATTTTGTTGGAATTCCGACAAAAAGGCTTGGTCGCATAGAATAGAATCAGGCTAAAATATAAGAAAACATGGCGAGCGCAAAGAATGCAAATGCTGTATTGATGAAACCTTGCTTCAAGAAGCTATAAATTTTTCACTAACCAAGACTAATAATTCTAACATAACATTAAAAAAGGAACAGAAAGACGCTATTCGTCATATTATTAATGGCAGAGATGTAATCGCCGTCCTGCCGACGGTGATCGGGTTTGGAAAATCTCTGATATAGTATACCAACTTTTGCCACCTTTATTGGACTTTGTCAAAGCGAAAAGAAGCAATGTTTCTGCCGTATTGCCGGAAACAATCGTTATCGTAATTTCCCCATTAAATGCTGTTATGGGTGTAAAGGCAGGTGCAAATTCAGTTAGGGATTACTGAGTGGGTAATGGTCTTATAATAGGACCTGAACATATACTAGCAGTGCCAAGATAAGTCATCACTAATGATCCTCAGTGCCAAGATAAGTCATCACTAATGATCCTCAGCAAGGATTGTTGTCATACTTTGAAAAACATTATTTCAATTATTCAGGTAAAAAGAGCCAACTCCCAACAGTTCAATATTATTTTAGTTTTATAAATGCTTTGCAAAATCCAAAATTCATATATAATATAAAAATATGGCAATCCTTCATGTATCCTAATACATTAGACCATAGACTATCGAAGTCTGTGATTCCTTTCGATATGGTTATAGGCTAACAGTATACTATACTTGGCGTGCATACTGCTACAATCCCCAATCAAATCCATTCTTGTACATGAATTTTTTTTTATTAATGGCATTATTAAAACAGAGTTTGTGTAGGAGAACCTGTCTAACAAAAAAACTGTGTTGGTTATGGTATTGCCTTTGTTGGTTAAATAAAGAAAATGACACTAGTAAATGAGCCAAAAAAAAAGTGGTATCAGAGCTGAAACAGGTCAATTGAACCATGATTTTTGGTATTTCTGGAGAAATAGCTGTTTTACATACTTTCCCTCAACCAGTACATACTATCCATATTATTACCTGAAATTGTGGCAAAAGATCTTGAAACTTCTATTATATATGGTAAACTAATTAGGGTTAATTTATCAAACACAAGGTAATGCCCAATGCTTGGTATCACAAATTCAAATTGCATGACTTATAACATACGGCAGACTTGTAGCAACAGGCCTGTATGGAGGATTTTGAGCTAGGGGAGGGAGGTACAGTAGTGATGTTCCATGTGTAGGGAAAAGAGCAATTTGAGGAAAAAGAGCAACATGGCACAGTTCAAAATTCATAAGTTGAACATACTCTAGGCGGCAGTTGCCCCCTTGCACCCCTGCTGCATTTGGCCCTGTGTAGCAATGTTCCAACAAATTATTAACAGGATATACACAAATTGTCCGTTCCCAGCTCATCAACTGACAAGTTTTACAGGTCTGCAGCAAGGTTGTTCTCACAACTTATCATCCTCATGCAATTCAACAACTTGTTAACATGTTTCCTGAAACTACTTGACAAATTAAATCTTTCTGGAAGTTGTGAGATTAGGGTTTGACTGATGCATTATTTTAATAATGTACAATAGTTATTAGTATCAATAGTTAAATATTTTAAATTGTCTACAATATAACTGATTGTTTATATGTAGTGGTAATTGAAATTTAAAGAGTTTTATACAACAGGTCCCTGAACTATTATATATTTGATGTTGGTATATATATATATATATATTTATATATATATATATATATATATATATATATATATTTGATATATTTGATATATATATATATATATATATATATATATATAATTATATTTAATTATAATTATCTATCGGGCATCAAATTTTGTGTGGTTGTTCAGAACTCTTTTGCCAAATTAATCATTCATGACAGTGTATGCTTCCACTTTCTATGGAAATTTAAATGAAATTTGTAATATATTATTCAGTATCACCACAGCATTTCTAATAACTGTAGGCGAAATTTTCGTGGCCTTTGTTAAAATCGATTTCGAACTTTGTTTCTTCAAATTTGTTGACAAACTAAGAAGCAGGATATGTAACTTCAGGAATCAACATTGTTTGCCAGGAATTTTCACCTCATTGAATTCATATATGAAATGCTAAACTACTTTCAGGGGCGCTGGAGGCACGGGGGCAGCTGCCCCTGCTGCCCATGTAGTGCGTGGGCAGCGCGGGGGCAAGTGGTTGCCCTTTTCACACTTCAAACAAATAGACAAATGTCCTAATTCCTAATTTGTAAGTCTCGCATGCACACACAAACACCCTATACGAGATTAAACTTCTAAAACATCATACATTTCCGTGCACAATTGAATTATTTCTGCTTTGTAACTTGATATGTTGTCACCTCACCTCGAATTGTGATATTACTTGGTGTGTATTGTCAGTACTAAAAAGCTCTGTAGTTCAGAGTGTATTTTGTGAAGCATTTCGCTGCCTTTTATTTCCAAGCTAGCCTAGAAAGAAGCAGTCGCCAGTCGCCTCAAACACTGGGAATGTAATGTGTAAGTACTATTTACTTAGTATTTGCGTGTTAATAGGCTATTAGCATCTGTTATGAGGGAGTTTAAGCTTCACATTTGCAGGAGCACCCGCGCGGCATATTCGGATTTTGTTGGCAGAATTTTTGATTAACTTTACCATTGGCGTTCGACGTTTGAACACGAAGCTTAAAATCCCTATTGTCACCTGCGCCCAAACCGCAAATCAATCATATATATATATATATATTAAATATATATATATATATATATATATAAAAAACTCGCCCAGTTGCTACACGCATACATACGCAGGTGGCGTTGTGGGGACCTCTGATGGCGTGAGTTTTCTCTGCATTGTGGGGACCTGTGTAAAGTTTCATAAAACATGCGTTATGGGGACTTCATAGTGTAAACGTTGTGGGGACTTGAAAATTTGAGTGTAATCATTGTGGGGACCATGCGACGTTTGTGTAAACATTGTGGGGACTTAATCTATAACCATGGTAATTTTTAATGATTTTAAAAGGTTAGTCTTTTTTAGACAGAATGGTTAATTCTGAAAAAGTTTTTCTTAAACGAATAAATAAAGCTTCCTGAATTTTGGGCAGTAATCAAATCATTTTGGCGGTATACAGTATTGATACGATTATAAGTATATTGCTTTGTATCGATTTACGCGTCGAAGTATCCACATAATAGACATAATATGCACCGCGGTTTATTTAACCACTGTGCAGTGGTGTTTATTTACATTATTTACAACGCAATTATTCTCTCTATTCTTTTGAAATGACGGATAAATTGTTGCCATCATATACATGCAGTTCATATAGTCAGTAGTCACAGTTGTTTGACGAAGAGAAGAGACTAAACTCAGAGAATTGCGCCCGCTTCACATGAGCAACTAAAAATATAATATAATAATGAGAATATTGCGACAAACGAAATTTGAGTACTTTGAGTGATTTCCTGTTTGATTGAGGGTAATGTTTAAAGTGCCTATATCACTTGTGGGATCTTTACGGATTTGAATAGGGCTTGAAAAATTTGTTTATTAGTTCTACAACCTTTTTTGATATAATTAAAAAATTTCGAAAATACATCAGTTGGGGGGACTGGGACTCAGGAAGGATTTGCAAACACGCCGTCTTTTATAATGTAAACATGAAGAGTTTCACTGGCGGTATGGTTTGCGCTTTTCAAGAAAAAAATGCGGGAACGGTGCGTTGTGTATGGCTGTATGTGTGTATATATGTATATATGTATATAATATTTACTTATTCTTTAATCTCAAAATAAAGCTGTCGCTACACGGTGTTTCACGCTAAGCTAAAAAAGCAAAGCGATCATCAGGCGACTAAAGGAAAATTCAATACAATATTTGATTACGTCATGCATCAACAGTTACTCGTCTGTCACGCGCTTATGCTTGTGCGCGCGCCTAAAATTTCCGGCATTAAACTTGTTCCTATGGCAGCATTTTGAAAACAGCTC